CATTTCGATCATGGATTACAAAAAATTCTATTATGGGTTACAAAAACCAAAAAATTCGATCATGGATTACAAAAAACAAAAACAATTCGATCATGGATTACAAAAAAATCGATCAAGTATTACAAAAAAATCTATCATGGATTAGACTAAAAAAAAAAAAAAAAAAAAAAAAAATACTGTACGGACTCGCCGATTCCGTACAGTGAATCGGCGAGTCACTGTGCGAAATCGTCCGGTTCTCTCTAGAACCAGACGATTTCCTATTTTTCAATCGATCCAGTCCCTTTTCGTGAATTTCGAGTTGAACCGGGCGAGTCCGGTTCGACTCGGCGTTTTTTAAAACGCTGGTTTAAGGTGTCTTTGGTAGTAAATTTACCAAAACACTGTGATTATTTGATGACGTACAATTTTAGGTTGTGAAAAAAAAAGATAAGATTTCAAGCTCTAAAAAAGTACATATTTCTACATGTTATCTACAACATCAATTTTCAAGTCTTCTTATAGATATGTACCACATTCTTTGAGCTATGAATTTCATAATCAACAGTGTAAAGAGATTTTAGAGCCATATTAGGATTTTCCCATAGGAAAATGGTTTGAGTAAAGTTTATTTTTATTTTAATCATATGATATGGAATTGCTTTCTAATAAACTTTTAATCATGTTTATTATAATATTATAATTATTAATTATACGTTGATAATTAAAATATTGTAATTTATTTATTAATTTATTTACATTATAAATTATGTAACGCATTATTTTTCTTTGTAAATAAGATTTTTTGAATTAGACTATATTATAAGATATTTTATATTTGTTCTTATTTAGTAGAATAATTATAAAATATAAATCAACAATTTCAATTCTGGTATATAACATTATAGTCAGTTAGGTTGTGATAATTTTGAATGAGTAAAGCGAATTAATAAATGTTTGATACTTTGATGTGATACTGATGAAATTATTATTTTTATAGATTAAAGGTTATATATGTCCTAAGTTTTAGGATTAAATTCTATTTTAAAAGTAATTTATTAATGAGCCCGTATTTCTACATGCGAGTCCGTGGACTCATGGAAACCATGTCCCTCAGTTATTCACTGTGAGAGGAATCGCTCATTCCGTCTGCTGTCATTACCGAATACAAACAGGGGAAAATCCACAGGCACTACACAAATTAGCCTTGGGTGCATAAAAAGTGTAAATTGCAGGCAAAGTACTCTTTTGCTCGTTCTCTAGCCTTTCTGGGGGCACGAAGTGAGAAAGGGGCATTCTCCATGGAAGCCCTAGTCGAGCTCTGCGACCTTGTTGCCCAAAACCCCGACCTGCACGCTGAGAAATTGCGTTGGATTTGCAGTAGATGCCCCAACATCAACACCAACAACAATTCGCCCACACCCCTAACTCGCTCTCACCTCAATGCAATCCTTGCCACCGCTCGCTTCCTCTCAAAATGCCCTAAGTTTGTCGACAAACGCCCTGAAGCCACCATTCTTGATTTCCTTCAGTCCCTGCCTGCTTCTTTTGACCCCTTGGTGTGGCCAAAATCCTTTTCGGCAGAATCAATTTCCTGTTTCTTCTCTGATCTCCTCTTGTATGTGTCCCAAATTGCTGATGTTAACCCTGAATTCGCCTCCAAGATAAAAAATTTCATGGGTGAGATCACCATTGCGGCAATTACGCACAATGAGACCCCAATTTCTAGGGCTTTTTTGGCTGCATTGTCACAACATTGCCCTCCAATCTCTGCGCCGGATGCCGAGAAACTCATATCTTTCATCCTAGATCGATTTTTGATATCTGAAGCCTCATCTTCATCGTCTTCTGAGACATTATCCTCAGCTCACAACTCACCCTTTGAAAGTCGAAAACAGCGTTTTCAAGAAGTCTCGAGCCCTATAAGCGGTTCGATCGATTCGGCGGGTAGCACGCCTTCAAAGTCAAAGGGGAAAGAGGAGTTTGTTGATGAGGTTTCTAGCATTGGGTCAAGGGGGATTAAGGCGAATGGTGGAGGGAGTGTTGCGGGAAGGAGCAGTTTGGATCAGTTGGCAGTCCCTTTAGGGTTTGGAGATGGCATCACATCATTGAGGCAGCAGATTACGGCATTTGAGGAGGAGTCGGCGGAAGGTTTGGAGAGGCAGGAGGTTGCCTACAGGCTTTTGGCTCATGTTTTGGATAATGTGGTTGTGAAAGGTGGGCAATTGGAGCAGGTCAGGATGGCGGTGGATAAACAGCTAAAGTCTTTGCCCACTTTTCTAAAGGTACCCTGTTTTCTTGGTTATGGTGTCATGTATTTCTCTTAGTGCTTTTTTGTTGAATTTCTTGATGAGTCATTAATTGTGGCCTGTTACATTGTCCATCAGTGTTCTCTCCGTTTGATGGGTAGAGATTCATAGAATCATTGAATTTGTAAAATCATTAATTAGTTGAACTCTGGCATGCTACATTGTACATTGGTGTCTTCTTCTTCATTTGATTGGTAGTGGTTCATAGAAATCATCAAATTCTTAAAATCACCCGTTCATTTAATTTTGGCTTTTTGCATTGCCCATGGGGGTCTTCTTCTTATTCAGTTTTCTGGGTAGTGATTCAGATAAATTGTTAATTTCATGAAATCTTTGATTTTGGGCATGCAACATTGTCCATTGGGATTGTTCCTTTTATTCCCTAGATGGTCAATGGTTCACAAATTAGTTTCATAGAATTATTGTTTAATAAATTCTAGCCTGCTTCATTGTCCATTTTTTTTTCCTTCATTTGATGGGCAGTGATTCACCGGAATCATTAAATTCATAAAATCTTTAATTATTTAAATTTTTTTAGCTGCTGCTCCCGTGGGTTTTTCTACTTCTTCTATTGATGAGGTTCTTTATGTTTTGGTTACGAACTCTATTGTGCAAGTGCATCTTGTTTTCTCATTTCTAGTGCTGAACTTTGTTCAATTCTAAGCAGATCATTTTTCATAAAGAGGATGAGCTACCTGCTACATTGTCCATTATGGCTCTTCTTCTTATTCATTTGATTAGTCGTAATTCATAGAATAAATAAATTCATTAGGAAGAAAAATTTTAATTTTTTTTAGAGCATGGCTTGTTGAATTTTGGCCTGCTACATTGTCCGTTGGTGTTTTTCTTGTTCTTGATTTGGTGGATAATGATTCATGGTAATTATTCTTTATTCCCTTCTGCTTTCATTTGTGCTTTCCTCTTCCTCAGATAGGGTGGTAATTATAGGTATCATTAAGTTGATAGGTGTCAATTGCTTTCAAAGAGTAGCTTTATATCTTGGCTCTGGGATGAAAACAAGATAGATGCTCGATAACCGTGGTAGAAGGCCACGGTTTTGTGTTATACCGATCTGGCTATGTAGTTTGGCATTGGTTCACTTGTTTCATTGGTGCATTGCCATTCTGGCTGTGTTTTGACGTTAATTAGTCATCGGCATGGAAATAGTGCATTATTACTTATTACGTTTGAATCTTACTATCTGTTACTATTTGTTTTTTCTTTCTCTTTTTCCAAAAATTTCTCTTATAGTTTCATTTTGTGTTTGCTTGAGCTAATTAGGTTCATGTTGATTTTTCACTCCGTCTTGATTTTTGTTTTGTTTATACAAACTGAGATGCCCTTGGTTTTTTAAAGTCTTTGCTTATTCTTTGCAACCTGGGGACATTGTGCCCATGGTTCTTTTAAACCCTTCTAAGTCTCATTTGCATTTTACTCATTTTACTTCTTAACATGATCCATTGCAGTTCTTTTTATTAAAAAAGTGTCGTTCATTGTCAAGGATGGGTCATTTGGTCATACTCTTTTTTACAGACTTTTATGTCGCTATTTTCACCTGTTTGTTTCCTATTGTTACATATGTGTGGTTGCATCTTTGGATATGGGTGGAGGCTAGGGCTAGTAAGGAAACCCTTGCTGGTTGTCTGGACTTTAGCAACTGTTTAGCTGTTGTTCAAAGATCCCTATGGTCCTTGCATTTGAACTTGTATTGGATCTCAATAGTCCTGTTTTTTACCCCTTGAAGTATCTTCTTCTGAAGAGAAAATAAAGCAATGCAGTGATGACTCTGCTCATCTTTCTCCGTAGATACGGAAGCGAGACTGGACAGACCAAGGTGCTTTGCTTAAAGCAAGATTCAACTCGAAGCTTTCTGCTTGTGAAGCAGCAACCATGGTTCAGATCAAAAGCCTCCTATCCCTTAACTCTGATGCCAAATCTGCAAACCAATTATTGCGGTTTACCCTTGCTCAACTCTTAGATGCTGCAGATGCTTGTGTTGTCTCTTATTGGAGGAAGTTAAGGACATGTGAGAAGCTTTTCAGTTCCTTGCTTAGTGGGATATCACAGATAGCTGTTACACGTGGGGGCCACGTGCTGCGAGTGTTGCTTCTTCGTTTGAAGTCCCTGGTGCTAACAACATGTGCCCAGGTATGTTGTTTTATTATTATTGGTCAAATTGTATTCTTGTTTTCATGCTCAATAAACTCTTAGGCTATTAACAAATATAATATGAGTTATTCCTGAAACAGGCTGACAGTTGGGGAAATAGCCAATGTGCTATATTTGAGAGTGTTACTAGAACATGCCGTGAGATAATTGAATTTGGTTGGAATCAAGATAAGGGGTCAGTTGAATCTTTTATCTTGGCACTGGCAACAAGTATACGCGAGCGGAATGATTATGATGAACAGGTTTGTGGATCCACTTAGATGTCTTTCATTTTTTGTTTCATCTCTATATTTGCATTAGTTGGATATTTCTTTTGTTGGTGGAAATAGGGGTGTGGATGGTGCTTATAAGGAATAGCAGGTTGTATTCATGGTTTAATTTTAGAAGATTTGTTAATTAACACGCTATTTTCTTTTAAGGTAAACACAATAGATATTCGTTACTAGCCATTTTTTTTCCTTAACAAATATAAAGCTTCATCTAATGTTTTATTTGGTTAGCATCTAAGAAGCACAAAAGTTCGTCAAGTGCAGTCTTTTCTTTGTTCACATCTGATCATATTTTCTTTTATTTTTTCAAACAAATGATAATTCTATTACAAGAAGAATTGTACAATATTGTTCATCCAATGCCTAAATTCACCACTCCAAACATATAGGTTAAAGGTGATAGTTTTTTAATTGGAATTTGCTTCAGTTTGGTTCATTTTACTTTGGACTCTTTCTTTGGGTTTCCAATTATCATTTGAGTTGTCTGTTATATCCTTTAGTTGGTCAATGAGATAGACAAAACTCGAGGTGAATGAACAAATCATGGGCCTTGGTCTCAAGCTTTTTTTTTTACTTCAAGCATTAGAATTTGTGCTTATGTTCTCTATCAAAATCACGATGATTCACCACCATCTTGAGGCATTTGTTGCCATCTTGCCTATTCCAAAGCCTAGAATGTTGTAGAAGTCGTCTATTTTTGAAGCTCCTATGATGATAAGTTTCATTTTCTCTTTTTTTTTTTTGGATAAAGTTAACTTTTAATTATAGAAATAAGAGAATATAGAGTAAAGAGAAGAAGGGCTTTCCACAGGCGGAAAGCTCACAATACAAAACCCTTATGAAAAAGGGGGGTGAGAGAGAGTAGAATCCAAAATCAACCTTTTTAAAGGTTACAATGACAGTAACAAAGCAATTGACAAAAGTATGTTGATCCCAAAGTTTAGCTCTGCTCCATCTTTAGCGAGTGTGTCGGGTGCTTGATTTCTTTCCCTCCAGATATGCCTCCATGAGGCAAGCATATCCCTGCAAATAAAGTGAAACTCGTCAAAAATATGGGCGAGGGTCCATGGCGGGGAGAAGATTTTGATGCCCAAGCAATAACATTCCTGGCGTCTCCTTCAATGGTGAGGAACTCTGAATGGAAAGGGAGGGTAAGTTTAAGACCTTTGAGAAGCGCAGTTGCCTCAGCCTCCATTGACTCTGAATGGCCAATAAATTTAGATAGGAATGCTAAAGTTGTGCCTGCACTGTCCTTGAGGATAGCCCCAATGCCGGTAGGCCCAGGGTTTCCTAGCGAGTTGCCATCGAAATTAAGTTTGAGGTGTCCTGGCTTAGGATGACTCCAACAAGAACTTCGAGGTATGCCTTTACTGTTATGCTGTAAGATTGCAGCTCAATCATGGAGGAAGCCTGTGGGAGGAAGTCCTTTGAAGACCTTGTGATTTGTTGCCCAAAACACAACAGAGGATTTGAGCTTTGTGGAGGTATTAGACCATGGGGAGGATTCTCCCCTAAAAATTCTATTGTTTCGTTCAATCCAAATAGCCCAGATAGTAGCTCCCACCGCTGTTTTCCACAGTAGAATCCTTGGCTTAGGCCATGGGTAAGGTTGAATTGATGAAAAGATGAGGGGTACCATGGCAGGTAGAATCCACTTCACATGGACGAGTCCTAGCGACTTACCCCAAATAGCAAAAGCATACGGACAATGCAAGAACATGTGCCCATTGGTTTCCTCTTCTTCCAAACAAAGAGCACAATGATTTGGCATGGGGATGCCGTGTCTTTGAAGCATATCCACTGTGAGGATCCTCTGCCATAGAGCATCCACATGAGGACCTTAATCTTGGGAGGTGTGAAGGATGCCCAAGCCCCGACAACTATAGAGGGGGCAGAGAGAGGAAACGTTGGCGGTAGGGTAAGTTTTTGATAGAATGAGGAGATTGAGAAATCTCCTCAAGCACTTGGGGTCCAAACTAACTGGTCTTCTCCTAGTGGAGCAATGAACCAGAGGTGAAGGGATCTAGAGATCATTGTGGGATCTAGAGATCATTGAGAGGCCGTCTAAAGGTAGGATTCCATGAATGAGACTGACCTGTAAGGGTCATCTCTTCATCCACAGTGGCGTCAGGGGAGTAGGCTAAGGATACCGGTCCCTCAGAGGTTCTTGACCTAACCAGATGTCATGTCAGAAACGGACACGATCATCCCCTCCTAGGGTGCAAATGAGTACAATTTTTAAAGAGCTGGTAGGACGAGCATAGAGACCTCCAGAAACCTGAAGCTCTGTGGTTATTTCTAACCTCAGGGATCCAAGATGAGGAGGGGATTCGATATTTGTGCCTGATAATATCGATCCAAAGTTGATCACTTAGAGTGGCTAACCGCCACCACCACTTGCCAAGCAAGGCTAGATTATGTTTTTTCAACAATCTGATACCTAGGCCCCCCTGCCTCTTTGGTAGACATAATTTGTCCCAAGAAAGCAAGTGGAATTTGTGGTTGTTCCCTACTCACGACCAAAAGAACCTATGGATAAGCTCTTCGATTTGAGTAGCGACTGCCACCGGCATGTGAAAAATGGACATTTGGTGAACCAGAATATTAGCCAAAGTGGCTTTGATAAGAGTCGACCTTCCTGCTGGAGAGAGGAAACGACCTTTCCACCCTGCCAATTTTTGGTTGACTTTGTCTATAATATGCGACCATGATCTTTGTTTTGGTTTACTAATGCAAAGGGTTGACCCCAGATAATTTGAAGGTAGCTCTTCAGCCTCACACCCCTAGCTATCTTTAAGGACTTTGAGAGACGGAAAGTCTATGGCCACCCCCATCTTTTTTGATTTCTTGAAATTAAATTTGAACTCCATGGCGAATGCAAAGCATCTGAGATAGAGGAAGAGGTCATCTAATTCCTCTGGGTTAGCTTCGTTAAAAACCAGAGTGTCGTCCAAGGTGCGACCACAAGATCCTGATTCTGGAAGCAAAGTCATGAGCCATATCGGCTGTGTACAAATGAGAGATAGATTAACTGAAGACCTCCGCCGAGATTGCCAAGAGAAATGGGGAGAGTGGGTCTCCTTGTCTTATACCCCTAGAGGAGGGGAAAAAGCTTTGGGAGAACCATTTATAAGGATTGAAAAGTAAGGATTTGAGTAGCAAGCTCTCATCCAAGACCTCGTCCTAACCACAAAACCCATCCTGAGTTGGGTTTCTTCTAGGATGGTCCAATCAACGTTGTCGTATGCCTCCTAGTCAAGTTTGCAATATGCCTAGGAAAAGTACGGAAGGATAAATCCCCCATAGTGGGCCTCAGCCCTTGATGCGCGGAGAAAAGGTTTTTGAAGTAGGATAGAATGGCCTCTTCAATCTCCCTAGGTTGGTCCAGCACGGTATGCCCATCCAAGAGATGGGAGATAGTGTTATCCTGACGTTTGCAATTAGTTGTCTTATGGATGAAGTCGGTGTTCAGATCGCTCGGCTTAAGCCATTTGATCTTGGATCTTTGGAACCAGAATATCTCCTCTTTCCTGAGAATGTTCTGGTAGTCTAGTTTGAGCTAAATCCTATTATGATGCTCTGAATTTGAGAGGGGTCCGGATTCTTCAAGCAAGTCTTGAATTGACTGAAGGGTAGCTTTTTTTTTGGGATTTAAAGGATCTCGGAAGGCTACTACTCCAAGTTTTGAGAATGGATTTAAGAAGCTGAAGGTTTCCTTTGAAGTCTGAACCCTGCCCACCCTAAAACCAGGTTCGCTAGTGATTTCCACCAAATAGGGAACAAGAAAGAACAAGGATTCTCTTCAAGCCAGGACAACTCAAATCTGAAAGGTTTGACGCCTCTCATAACTAGGTGGGTATCTAACAGTAAAGGGCAGCGGTCAGAGGTGGGTTTAGGTAGGGCAATGACGCGGGATCCAGCAAAAGTGGAGTCCCAATCTAGGGAGACAAGAAAATGGTCCAGCTTAGAGGGAGAAGAGTTGGATGAATGGTTGGACCACGTGAACTGAGTTTCCTGAATGGTTAAGTCCAAAAGGTTATTATGAGATACGAAGTCAGAGAAACTTCGCATGGTCGGAGTGATTCTAGATGAGGTGTTTCTTTCAAAGGATCATCTTTCACATTGAAATCCCCACTGAGAAACCAAATAGGATGGGGTAAAGTGGCAATAAAGTTTAACTCGTCCCAGAAAGAAGGTCTCAGGGATCCATATTGGGACCATAGATGGTAGTGAATTTCCATTGCAGGCCATCGGAAATTCTGGAAGAGAAGGGAGACTGAAAAAGTCGCAATGTGAGCTTGAGAAATGGTATGTGCAGTTGGGTCCCAAATCACCCAAATGCCCCCCCGAGGCCCCTAGGGTAGGGAGAGCTTCTCATTGGTAAGGACGATGGCCCCATACCTGTTTAACCTATTGGAGAGTAGGAGCAGGCAGTTTAGTTTCAGTAAGAGTAAGGATAGGAGGGTTGAATTTGTGGCAGAAGTCCCTAACAGCATGTTTTTTAGGTGGGAAGCCTAACCCACAAATATTCCTGGAGAAAATTAACATTTAGAGGAGCGAAGGAAAGAGGAGATCCTCGGGGATCGCCTAACCAGAGTCCCTTGAGAAATTGGATCAGGGGAAGAAGGTAGGAGAGAGACGGAGAGATTTGGAACTATGTCGTAATTAATGGTACATACCCAGTTAGCCATTTTCTCCTTAAATGGTGGAAGACACGATTTTGGGGCAAATGAGAAGATGGTTCTTAGAGCTAGAGTTCAAGGAGGTGGATTTTGGTCTCGTGTTGCATAGATTCTGAATGACATGAAATAGAAACATGGCTATGGCCCAAAGTGACAGGTGGCATTGTAGTGTAGATGGTGTATAATATAAAAATTTTCCTCTTTCTTATTATTACCAACAATTCTATTTACATGAGCCACTTATAATGCAAAAATATGGGAGGAAAGAAATAAAACCCTACTACAATCTAA